TTGTAAAATAAGATAAATTACAAGCGACATAAATGTCGCTTGTACATTTCCCTTCATCAAAGGCATAACGGTAAAAAATTCGACGGGAAAGAGGGTGGAAAACCGGTGGAAGTAAACAGCTACTTCAGACTACTCTCTCTCGGCGGAGGTGTCACGGTGTAAGCGAGTCTGCCTGTTCGTCTGCGCGTGCTGACGAAGAAACAAACCATCCTCCGCCTAGTCCCCGGTCGCGTCAGTGGTTGGTGGTTTTCCCGAGGCAAGCTGTGCGGCAGATTCGCGCGAGCTACGAGGCACATTTATTGCTCCGATGTAGCTACGTTATTACTCGGCGAAGTGGGCCAATGTTGCCTGCCATGGCCTGGAATCGAACTGATTAAAGCAGACCTTTCAGAAATTGCGTCTCTCCCCTCCGCCAGCCCACCGTTCTCTTTCTTTTTTATCTTATAGCCGAGTTTCCTTGGTTCATCCGCGGCTGCAGCCGTCTCGCGTTTCTATAGCCAGTACGAATATTTTATTTTATGCTATGCTCTAAGGGAGTGCAAGATTTCAGAACACCTGCAGAATCATTACCAATCTTGTTCCATACAAAATTTTGAATCATTGAATAATTACTCGTATCCACTAATCGTAAAGGAAAATTATATAAACTGAACAACGTTACTAAGAACGTACGATAAACATAGGAAATGTAATTCGCATGGCATTGAAAAGCTGCCACTTGGTTTAAAGTCCCTGGGCCCCACCCAGACTTGGTTAAAAGCCGATGAGAAGATGAAGCTGAAAGTAAGTCGAAACACAAAAGCGGCACGGCGAGGCGGGGTCGGTCTTGTTAATTAAACTTCCGCCCTTGGAGATCGCGTGTACCCGCTCGCGTTCTACGTGTCGTTCGAGAGAAAAAGCAATGCTCGCAGCGCGGCGAGACGAGATTTAAATCTTCTAACAGAACGACGATGAATCGGTGTTTCTTTTATTCATTCCTGGCGGCGGCGTAACGATTTCGTGAGCACCTACTTCTGGGTCAGACACGAGGCACGAAAGGAGTATCTCGTGCGTGGCGTTTTCATGCGTACGCACACGAGACAACCGCACTCTTAACAAATCCCGAGTAATAACGTAAATTTTCAATGAAATACGTGATTAATTCAAAATTTTCTATAATAATCGCAAACTTACTAGAAAATATATATTTATTCTAGTTGCATTTTCAGTTAAAAATACATTTGATGGAAATCTGAATGTCCGATTTCCAAGTTATGAATGCAAGGCATTTGGAATTGAAATAAGCAACACACTACACAAACACACATTATAATATTGTGTATGTATTTTGAATAGGAACATAAATCTTGAGCGAACTTTAAATTTTAAATAACGGATGCTCTTCGTGTACGTAGATTTAAAAACAATACTGCGTGCCATTTCAATCCTTTACGCGCTCATTAACCGTGAAACGAAAGGTAAAAAGAATTTAAGAACGCGAACCCTCGACGAGGTAAATAGAGTGGAGAAAAAAATAAAATTTCTAGCCGCTGTTTTCGAGTCGGACGATCCACGCCCGCGTTTAAAACGTTGGCTTAAGTCTTGGTAATTGCGTAAAACTTGGCCCGTAAAGACAATCCGAGGAGCGACTGGTGTAAAGAAGGCCGCGCCCTTTTGTACTTAAGTAGGTTACGTACTGGGGCTGGGATGCAAATTTCAAATGCAAAATGCACTCGGTTCTGATTTATTTCGTGGGTTAAAAAAGGAAAGTGGTTGGCCTGGGTCTGGGAAAACAAGAAACTCCAATTTTCTCGGTTTGAAACCAAGAAATGTTTTATTTCAAACAACTTGTACAAACAATTAATATCGAAGCCATGTCTGACCAATATGGAATATACTACTTGTTTTCTAAATATCGTACCAGCACTTTCATCTTATTTTTCTCACATGTAAAG